GTCACTGTCCCCACCCTAAACGCCAGTCACCTCGCCCAAAACCGATCACGCCCGAGTCAGGGCCTCCTTCCGGGGTTCTGGGGGGTAGCGTGGCTATCTATAGCATCTGCTCTCCAGACTAAGAGAGGATACGGGAGCCACAGAGCTACTTAGAATTTACATTCTTCATCCAGTTTTCTTCTCCTTAAAATGTGATTTGACCCAATTTAGAGGTCTTTTTTCTTTCCATTTAACCCCACTTTTGACAGGGATTTTTCTTAGAGCATTCCAAAGATTCTCCTATTACCTCAGAAACTTAATTTGAAGTGATGTAAATGAAAAGGATGTTCAAAATCTTAAACAGCTTTTGGATTCCCTTTGTACATTCCTGCATGGATTTGAGGAAGAGCTGGTTTTTACTTTGTTTTGTTTTTTAATCAGCAAATCACTGTGTTTTCTAGAGTAAGAGACACTGAACATTAGTCACAGTGATGTGCAGGGGGGTCAGGCCCCGTTTACAAAGTGCTTGAAGACTTTGGTTCTCAGAATCCCACCTGAGAGGGACAGGATGAGTGTTACTGTTCCCATTTACAGATAAGGAGACAGACTCCCCTCCGCCAAGTTTCAGGAATCTAGTCTTCCTCATTGAACTGCGGCCAGAAGCCTTCTGAAACCTGCCAGCTCCTGCCTGCATCTACCCTCCTCCAGGTCAATGTCATATAGCAAATCCTGCATCCTTTTCTGAGATGTGTCTACTGAGACCCCAGCCCCCCTCTGGGTTGAAGCAACCCCGACGGCTCACATTTTAGGCATCTCTTTCCACAGCCTGCAAACCGCACGGGATAGTCTCTTACAACCGTCTGTTTACTCACTTCCCTCCACCGGGTCAATTCCGATTCCAGGCCCGGGAGGACAATTTTAAAGTGTTTCTGCAGACAGACCCTCTGGCCGCGCCGGAAGTGTTTTATGGACCTGTGAGCCGAGTTAATCCCAGGAGGGGCGGCAGGATTAGTCCCTGGTGTGGGTGGGGGATTCCTGTATTAAACTTTAATCCCCATGGGAGAAGAGATGGGGGACGGGTGGCTATGGCATGTGTGCCCCCCCCATTAAACTCCCAGATTTGGGCCGAGGCGGATGGAAACTGAGGTATGTGGATACCCCAAAGCCTCGATCCTCGGCGAGGCGGGGTGCAAGGGGGGAGGGCGCCCCGCACAGACGCACCCTGGGAGACCAGTGAGGACATCGAGGGCGAGTGGAGAGCGCAGTAGTGTGCTTTTTTCCCCCCAGGTTTTATCCTTCCCTCCCTGGCAAGGAGGAGAGCCGCAACCCGGAGAGGGAGCCGGAAAGCAGCACTTAATCACCGGCGTCTCGCTGCTCGTCACGCGAAGATGGCAGCGGCTCCCCTGTGTTTCAAGGTTCCGGGAAAGGCGTGTGTTCTGCCTTAGGCGCGCTGGCTGCCGCGCTCCCTCCCTCGGCTCGGCAGCCGGCCGGGGTCTCGGAGCCTCTCTCAACGCCCGCAAGTGCGGGTAGGCCAGCCTGCCGCCTGGCCAGCCTGTCCCTCCTCGGGCCCGGCGGTGGCTAGGGTAGCGGGGGCCCGTGGGTCTTCGCGGTCTAAAAGTAAAGGCTCGAGGATGTGAGATGGGGAGCTGATCGCCCAGCCGCCTCCGATCACAACAGCCCCCGCCCCAAGACACACAGAGCCGCACTCTGGCCCGGGCACGCTGGGCGTCAAGCTGCGGCCAATACAAGACATGCAGGGTAGACTCCCAGTAGCGGTGGCCCGAGACCCGGCCGGCCTTTGCGGAGAGGGTATTTGTCGCCACCGCCACCCACGCGTAGGCCCCACTGTGTAGCCTTCCCCTTTGACTCCCCGGGCCATCATGAAACACAGAGCGCACAGGTCCCCCCCAGCCGCCGCCACTTCCGGGGAAGTTGGGGATCCCCAGGCCTGGCTGCACGTCCCAGGGGTGCCAGCATGTGCACGGACCCTGGGGAGGACCAGGGCAGCGCGGTCCCTCCACACCCGGATTCTTCCCCGGTGCAGCACACAACCGCCACGGGCTTCCGAAGCGCCGGAGAGGGGAGGAGGAAGGGAAGGCGGAGGCCCGGGAGGCGGGCTGCGCGCTTGAGACGTGTGTGTGTGTGTGTGTGTACACGCGCAGGCGCGCGCGCCCGGAAAGGGGGACGAGTGTTTGGGGGAGGCAGGGTGAGTGTGAGCAACCCGGAACCAGCCGTCCCAATCGGGACTTGCCTAGCTGGCCTCTCCAGCCCCTGGCCGTGAGGCTGCGTGCCCAGGGCTGGCGGCTCAAGCGGAGCGGAGCCAGGAGGTGCGGAAGGCGTTGCCGGGCGTCCGGCCAGCTCCGCGAGAGGAGCCCGGCGGCGCGCCCGGAGCCCAGGGACCGGCGTGACCCAGCCGCCCCCGCAGGCGGTAGTTTAGCTCCGCCTCCCGGGACCACTGACTCTCGGCGATAAGGAGTTCCTCGGCAATCGGCTGTCCCCAGTGCCCAGTCACCTCCGGCGGACGTGACCGCCGGATGCTATGTGGCGAGGTGGGGCGAGGGGCCTTTGCACTGCCTTCCCTGGTCCCTTCTCCGCCGCGGAGCCACAGTAACGTGCAAAATAAGGGCCAAATGTCGGGCTTCCTCATCTCTTCCCATAACCCTTTGGAAGGTGGGGGGTCCAACACCCCCCCAAACAGCTCACCTTCACTACACAACACTGGGGAGGCAGCACAGCCCTACATTCCTCGGTCGGGGGGCGATCCTGGCCATAGCCCAAACTGTGCAACAAAGCCGCTTAACAGTTCTGGGCCTCGGTGTCCTTATCTGTAAAATGATACCAGTAACGTGTCTAACTCACGGGGTTGTTTTCAGGATAAGAGTTAATACATAAAGTGCCTAGAACTCTGCCTGGCACACAGTGCTACAGTGTTGGTTGTTAGGGTTTGGTACCCTCTTACCAGGCTGAAGCAGGTGAAGGTGGGGTTTGCACAGGGTAGAAAGGGCACTGCTGCCCACAAAAGGCGGCAAAATGGGCTCCAACTGTCTCCACTAGATTTTCCCTTAAAGACCCTCGTGTGTGGTAGGGATGGAAGGGGGAACTTTGCTTTAATGGTGCTCATTTAGGCTGGATTAATGGGAAGCTCCTGCTAGGGCTCAGGCACAATTACCCACCCTCTCCCTGAGGCCTTGGGCGAACAGCACTGGTTTAGAGGACGTCCGGTAGACTCTTCCAGGACACCCTTTCTGATGGCTCAAGGCCACCTCCTATAAATCAGTTCTTAGAGGCGCTGGGCAAAAGCCACATCCTCTGGGGATGTAAGTTAGCCAGATTTTAACACTGGTCCAGAGCTGGCAGGCGGCAGGCCCTAGTCCCTGGGCTGCTGGTGAGTCTCATTTTAGAGACTCACAAACGCACCACTATTTACGTACATAGAACGGGTCAGATTTCTAATTTCAAAAAGCTTCCCATTTCCTTTGAAATGGGGTCTCCTGCGCGATGGGGCGGAGTTGGGGCAAAGAAGCGCCCCGAGGAGGCCTCGGCGCCACTCACTCCCCGCCTGGCCTCTCCCAGGTCACTCATAATTCATTAGGTGGGACAGCCTTTTCCTTTTCAAAGACAACGCAAATGGCCTTTCCCTTACGTGGCTGCCGGCGTTCGCCTAATCACTGAAATGTGCTGGCGGTGCGCTCTCGCTCTCGCAGTTGATCCTTATCGGAACTGTGCGTGCCAGGCGGCCAGCCCCGCGAAAGACAAAGACGCGGGTGCCTCCGGGTTTGCTCCCGAAGCCTCAGGGTCACCTCCGGGGCTTCCCCTTCACAGCCTCTGGCTCCCAAGCCGCTGCCGGCCAGCCTCCGGAACAAACCCGCAGCCTTAAGTCAGAATTCCAGTTCTCGAGCGCCACCCGGAGCGTTCACTTTTCCCCTCCTCCGAGGCCGCGTGGTGCGCGAGTGAGAGCCCGAGGGCGGCGGGAGCAGACGTTTGGGGCCGGGGGCCGGGGGCGGGGACTCCCCGGCACCCAGCAGCACGAACGCAGGTTAAAGAAAAAGGCAAGAGAAAAACGTGGGCTTATAAAAGCCAAAGCCCAGGACCATCTAGTCTGAAGTACAAACAACCTCAGGAGGGAGTTTGCAAGGAGCAAGCAACCCCCATATAGAAACTACAACTAAACGAAATCCCCGTTTAGAGTTATAGTAAGAGTCCTCGAAGGTGGAGTGCAAAGGGGACCGCGGTTTCTTAGGACACACACGGGCTGTGCTAAGATACATCATGCTCAGCCCGGCACCTCCTGCACACACGTTTAACAGCAGGCAGAGAGCGGAGTTTCATCTACAGATCAACTAGTTCTCACAGTATTTATAACTGACTCAACGTTTACTTGATTTTTTAAAAAAAGATTTATCTTGCTTGAAAGATACATTAACAACCTGTATTTAGATGAGCTAAGTTCTCTCAGCTGTCTGCCCATGTCTGTCTGGTCTCTCTAAGAATCCACGTTTTCTAGCCCGGGAAGGGGCAGGCTCCTCCTTCGGCGGTTTCCTGGCTTGGCGCCCATCCTCCCCAAGCACCGGGAACGGAGACGGCCGCATTAATACTCGCGGGCAGCCTGTTCTGACCTATACTGTCATTTTTTCCATCGGTCAGAATCGGGCGGGGGGGGGGGGAGGTGTTCTCCTCCGAGGGGCTCTGCACGGATCATTGGGTTTTCCCCGGCGAACTTAACACGGAGGCAAAAGGGGCAGATGGAAACCAGGCCTCGGCTGGCCGGGCGCGCGTAAGCGCCGCACTCGGCAGCTCGACGCAAAGCCAGGGCTGGATTTTCGCAGCCTGGGCCCGGCGGTCTCCCCGCGCCGGCGCGATCCTCTCTCCCTCGGGCTGAGCAAACGTGCTCTTCAAATTCCGCCCTGGAGACAGCAGCTGTGCGGCGCGGGGGGGTGGGGGGGAATAACCCGCAACTTTTCCAACAGAAAGTGTATGCGCACAGGAGAGGTGAAGGCCCACCCGATTCTGTGCACGTACCGACACAGCATCTAATCAGTGTCACTGCCAGGAATACGCTTCCGCGGCGGGCGACACCCCGGCCCCCGCCAACCTGCAGGAGGGAGGGGGGGATGCAAATGGCGTCTCGCGTCGTCCCAGACTCTGCACAGCTCCCGCTGCCGAGACTCCGAGCAGACGTCGCAGCGGGCCAAGCGTCGCCACTCTGGGGACGCGAACAAGCTGGCGGCCCGCGCCTCTCTCCTGCTACCTGGTCGCGGGAAAACGAACTAGCACCGCTCCCCGGGCCGAGGCCATTCCCCCGCCCCCACCGCCGGAAGAGCTGCCCTTCCCCGATGGGAGGGGGGCGGGAAACTTTGCGAGACGACTGTTCCGCGCCTTTCTCGCGTGGCGTCGGAGAGGAACTTGGGTGGGTTTCCCGTCCGAGGCCTGACCACACCCTCCCACTTTTCTAGGCCTCGGACCTGAACCTCGTGGACTACGGAGCGGAGGGGGACACTTCGGGCCACTCGGAGGGCGGCACCGAAGTCAGGCGTCCCCAAGGGCTCTGGCGGACGGCCAAGTTTGTGTTCTTTCCATCCCACGCCGGAGTAGCGCTCGCTACTTTGGGGAAACTTCAGACTCCTCAACCCCGGCCACGAGGCCACCCCTGTCTTTAAGGTAGGGCCAATGGTCTCTCTACAGCACCCTCTCCCGCTCTGCGGCCCCCGCACCGCTCCCACAGCCCCGGGGAGTCCCCACAGATGGCCCGCGCCTTCCCTCGCCCGCTCTTCCGGGGGAGGGGGAGGCGCGTGAGTCGTGTGCACCACGACTCCGGCCCGCATCCTCCGCGGAGCCACCTCCGCAACCTGCCCCGCCCGGAGTCGCCCTGCGGGATGCAGCCTTCCCCGCGCGTAATGGGGCACCCCTGGGACGCAGGCAAGGATGGCGGTTCCGGTCGTTCCGGGATTTGCGTGCAAGAAGACAACAAGGCCGGCGACTACAGGAGCGGCGCCTCCATTCTCGGGGTTGAGACGCCCGCGCAGTCTCCGCGTCGGTCCCGCTATCGCCACTCTTGCCTGGGGGGCCCGCTTCCGTACCCCGTGCCACCCCCCAGCAATCCCTCGTCCCGCCCTTGCGGCACCACGCGGAGCTCCGAGCACGCTGTCTCCCACCCCAGCCCCTCCATAACTCGCGCACCTCCCTCGCCCCGGGCTCGGGGCACTACTCGCTCTCAGCGCCCGGAGTACGCCGGTTCCACCCTCGGCTGCGAAAGCCGCCGCCCCGTGCCACCCCCGCCCGGCCCGGCCCTTGTCCCAGCCCTTGTCCCAGCCCGGCTCCCCCGCCAGCTGCGCCGCCACCGCCGCACGTGACCCGCCCCCGTCGCGGCTTCCGCCTATCTGCCTGTTCCGGAGCACAAACAATTTCTGCTCTGACGCGGGGTCTCTCGGGCCCCGGCGTCCTCTCCTCCTTGCCTCCCCCCCTTCCGGGTACGAGAACTCAAAACAACTCGCTGACCTTCGGGCCGACCAGCTCCAGCTTCCACCGACTCCGGCATTCTGTTCAAACCCGGCAGCGGCGGCTTCTAAGATTTCACTCCGCGCTGGGCTGGGGGGAGGGGGTGATTCCTCCGGGAGGGGGTGTCTCAGATCGAAAGAGCCACTTCACGCTCATTCCTCTCCTCCCAAGTGAGTTTTTAGACTGTCCAGAGGCCCTGGGGAAAGCCGCGCGCAAAGAAAGCCACCCCCCCACTCCCACCCCAACACGCGCGCGCGCGCGCGCGCGCGCACACACACACACACACACACACACGCCGCCTTGACTGGTGCCTGACCTGATTTCCAGGGTCACGGCCCAGCGGCGGAGGGCCTGGACAGCCTCCGAAATACCACGGGGCGGTGGAGTGCGGCACGGATCAGAGCTGGGGTGGGGTGGAGGGATTGCGCTAAATAGTCATCGTAGCTCCCACTTCTGCGCTGTGCCGAGTACTTTACAAGCCCTTGAACTTCACGGATCAGGAAACTGAGGCGCAGAGAAAGGTCAGTTAATTGACTCTATCAGTCACCCAGCAAGCTAAATGACTTAGTAGGAGCAGGAATTTGAACCCAGGTGTCCCGGAGTCCGGGGTGGTTAAACATTATGCTAGTACTCACATTGGAATCAAAAGTACAGACCCATCTACAGAACTCAGTGTTCACTTGAGGGCTACATGTTTTCCACGTTGCGTTGTGACTGGTACCCAGTAGGCCTTAATAAATAATGGTGAAATGAATGGGTGTCTGAATAAATGATTGACAGAATCACTGATGGCAAGTGATTTTAGAGAAAACAGCCCCAACCACTGCTCCTTCTAAGAGGACTGTTTTACCTTAATAAAATCTCTAGCTGTTTTGTGACTGTTTGCAGATAACAGGAAACTCTTATTCAAAAATATATTAACCTCCCACCCCTCCCCCCAGCCAATCAGCCTGGCAGCGTTTGAACTTGCTGGGGCACATACCCAAAGCAGCTTGTGCTTGATCTCAGCCATTTTCCCTACCCTGTTCCTTCTCCGTAGGCTTCTGCTCAGGGTCAGGCAGCCTGGAGCTGCATTTGAACTGATTCTGAACATATCCCAGGAAAAGAGTATACACCCACCAAACGTGGTTCATTGGCTTCCCTTCCACAGGCTGGTGGTGGTGGTGTTGGCGTGGGGGGAGCGTGACTTGCAGCTCAGTGGTTATCTTTTAATTCACAGACCACATAAGGAACACCATGATCCGTGCGTCTGTGCAGCGTGTTCCAGAGTCCCAGCCCTCACCAGCTGTGAGGTCACATCTCTTGGAAGGCAGTCATCTACCTCAACCAACAGCTCCGAGATGCTGGGCAGCGGGACCGTATCTGCCATTGGGAGAGCTGCCGCTGGTGCTCTGGGCTGTCCTACTCCTTCCGGTAGCCAAAGAGAGGATGCGAGTTTTAAAAATGCATATATTCAGGTAATCCATATTGTCATACGCCGTCTCCCCCCCCCCCCCGCCCCCGTTTTCTAAACCTAACAAGTTGTTCCTTCTGTGTCACTAATTGGGCAGCCTGAAATGAGGACAAATTTCATTTCCGGTTACCTGAAAGTAAACTTTCTCCCTTCCAGTTTGATTCCTCCAACATCTGTTGAATGCCTCTGTGGTGTAAGTCACTATATTAGGCAGAACATGGAGGAGGAAAATGGCTAGCCTCTGTTTCTGATTAGTGATATAGTCTGTCCTCCCTCTCTCTCTCTCTCTCTCCCCCTCCCTTCCTCCCTCCCTTCCTCCTTTGTCTTTCTCTCTTTCTGACAGTTGTCTATTTTGGCTCATGTTCCTATGATAATTACCCAAGAAATGAAAGCGTTTATTTTCTAAGTAACAACCCAATATTGATTAGAAGGCTGGGGTTTCAGCCGCCTCTTTTACAGTCTGGTCTGGAGGGACCAGCAGGACCCTGTGACCTCAGCTTGTGACCAGCCCAGGTTGGAAACATCAAGGGATTTCCAAGGAGGCCACAGGCCTCAGTCCTACTTGGCTAGATCGTAGCTGCACACACTCTTGCCGAAATTCACTTACCCCTCGTGCAGGGGGAACCGGTGACAAGTGATGCTGAACCAGAGGTTCAGGACGCTAATATGATTTATTATCTGTGTACAGCCTGGGGAGGAGAAAAGACTCATAGAAGTGTTCTAGGCTGGTCATTCTGCATGTGAGCATTTATTTATCTGCAAAGCTGCCGAATGTCCCTGCAGGAAGTCGCGGGCGCAGCAACCCCTGACTGCACAGACAAAAGTCTCCCCTTTACACAGGGCTGCTTTTATTGTTTCCAACAGCTTTGTGCTTTCCCTGGGGGAAGAGGAGAGTCACAGAGCGAGTTTTCTTCCTCTTTTCTCACGCTGCAGAGGAAGTGATGTTGTGGAAACAGGGGCATTAACTTGGCCTGCAAACCACATCAGAGCCAGAGTTGGGAAAAGCTCGGAGCAGGGTGGCATTCCTATGGCTTTCGTCCTCCGGGTCCCCAAAAACCCAGCCTGGGTCTGAGCATGGGGATGGCGGGCGCTCACAGGTGGCGCAAAGCAAGAGAAGTCGTACTTGGGAATCATTCCATGGGTAGGAGGGGCTCCCTGGGGACGGATGCTCCTGAACCATTAGGAGTCAAGCCCCCAAATGACTCCTGGGGCAGCTTCATTCATTCTTCATTCATCTATTGGAACACACTTAGGGATTAGGCACTTGGTGCCCAGCACTGTGCTGGCCCAGGGTATGCAATGGTAAGCGACAGAGACACAGCCCCTGCGTCACGGAGCTTACATTCTACTTCGCTTGGCACACGCAAGGTACCGGATGTGGTCCCGACCGTCGAATCCTGTAGGTCCTACCTCCTTAACGTCTATCCTGGGCTCTTCCTCATGCGACCATCCTTAATTCAGACCCTTGAGGACTCCTCGTGGAACAATGGAACCCACCCTCCCCAAACTCGCCTCTTCCATCTGATCATGCCACCCACTGCTTTGAATCGTTCAGGCAGCAAGAAGGGGAGAGACAAGGGGAGATAAGGACACCCCCATCCAGCCGAGTCAGCCTCCTTTCTAAAGATTTCTCAGAAGTCCCACCTAGTGATTTCTACTTATGTCTCATTGGCCACTTCTTGCTGCAGGGAAGGCCGAGGAATGGTGCCTTTTAGCTTGAGGCCATGGCTGCCTCAGGTTACTACGGAAGGGGGGATGGCTACTGGGGTGGCCAGCCAGCCACCTCTGCTCATATGCTCACAGGGTATGTGACAGACAGTATGACATCACTTAGTAGGTGGTAGGAGAGAGTTTGAGAGGGACCTTTTGGGCTCTGTTCCCTGGTTCACATCCCAGTTCTGTGGGAGCCGCCCTCTGTCTCCTCCGTGGGGTTGGGATGCCAGCAGCCTTTATGTTGCTGTAGGTGCAGGTGGAGTCTGCCCCTAGCTGAGCCAGTTCTGTTCTTTTTTTTTTTTTTTTTTTTCCCTGGAAATGGGGGATCAGGAGAGAGAAAGCTGGTCATTCAGGGCAGGGCTGGCTGCATGGTTCCACCTCCCGCCCTGCACCCCGGCTCACCTTCCTGAGATGGGTCCTCGGATGCCAGCTCCCCACCTCCTCGTGACCCTGGCCCTGCTTGGCCTCCCACACACCACCCTGGCCTTGGGACTGCTACCACCCTCTGCCCCTGGGTACTAACTTTGGGAAGGTCAGGGTTGGGGAGCCTCACGGTGCCTTGGGGGTGGGGCAAGGTGGCAGCACTTTTGGCCGGACACATGGCAGGGTCCTCTCCTCCACGGAGGATCCAGGCACCGAATGTGTCCCAGCATGGAGGTTGTGATCCCTTGGAGGCCAGCGAGTACCTTGGGTGGAGGCAGTGGGCGTGCGGGGGAAGGGGAGAGTGAGGTCCCAGCCCCTGGCTGGGACCCTGCATTTTAGTTTTGTTCTGGGCCCCACAAATTATGTAGTCAGCCCTGTCTGACCGTGGGGCCATTGCGTTCAAGCCTGTGGATGCCAGGCCAGGGAAAGCCAGTCTGCAGAAAGGCAGAGAATAATAAAGAAATGCGGTAAAAAACAGAGTGCCTTCAGAAACACAGGGCCCCAGAGAGGGCAAAGATTGGTTCCTGAAGGGCGTCCAGTGCCCGGCTCCTGCCCGCTGTGGGGACCTGCCTGTACTTCTGCTCCTGAGTTCTTCTCATCAGTTCCCTTCTGTTCCTTGTGCTACTATGAATGATTTCCCCTGATTACCAGCTAAAAGTGCCCCAACCCAGACCAAAAAAAAAAAAAAGCTTGGTTTGCAGTTTATAGTGTTGGGTTTCAGTCCCAACTTTGCCGTTTAATTCGCTGTGTGATACTGGGCGAGTAGTTTTTTTAAAAAATATATTTATTTATTTAGGCTGCACCAGGTCTTAGTTGTGGCACATAGGATCTTCATTGTGGCATGACTAGTTGCGGCATGCATGTGGGAACTAGTTCCCCCACCAGGGATCGAACCTGGGCCCCCTGCATTGGGAGCGCGGAGTCTTACCTGCTGGACCACTAGGGAAGTCCCTGGGCAGGTTAGTTATTCTCTCTGAGGCTTCGTTTCTTCAACCTTAAAAAAATGGCTGGACCTAATGGTACCAACGTTGTAAGTTGCTATAAGGATTATCTGTTTACACCCCTTCTCGTTAATAGAAGTATTTAAGACACAAAGGCATGTAGAGGATTTTGAGTGAAACAACTTCCTTCTCTGACTGTTTTCTCAGTACTTCGATACTGCATACTTGAATCTGGTTAACTTAAGTGGTTAGAATAGGGTCAAACGAGATGGATGTCATAGGTTTTGAGCACTAGACAGGTTTGCTTAGCGTATTTCCATGACTAAAGACTAAACGCATAAGGTAGATATTCCAGTTATCTATCGCTGCACAATGAACAACCCCCAAATGTGTGGTTCAAAATAACAACCATGTTACTGTATCTCATTATCTTGTGGGCCAGGAATTGGGACGGGACTAGGATGGGTGACTCTTCTGCTCCATGTGGGGTCAACTAGGGGCTCTCGGTGGCACTCTGGTGGTGGATGTGCTGGTCTGGAGGGTCCAAGTTGGCTTCATGCACAAGTATAGTGCTTTGGTGGGGATGGCTCCAAGGCTGGGCTCAGCTGGGACTGTAGGATGTGGTTCCTATCTGTGGCCTCTCCAGCATGGTGGTCTTAGGATAGTGTCACTTTTTCCATGGTTGCCCAAGTTCCAAAAGACCGAGATAGAATCTAGAAAGCCTTTTCTGACCTAGCCTTGGACATCATGTGGTATCACTTCTGCGGATTCACCTAATTACAGGAGAGTTAGAAGCTCACCCAGATTCAAAAGCAGGAGACTACATGAGGGTGTGAATACCAGGATGCCTGGGTCATGGGTGGGCGCATTTTTGGAGACCAGCTATCACAGTGGACCAACCACTTATATGTTTGTTCCCTTAGTCCTGGGGGGCAAAGTGCAAGGACATGGTTGGGAGAGCTCAGGTCCATCCCCAGTTCATCATCAGAAGTATTCTGGGAAATCCTCAGCAAGGGGCAGAAGATGGAAAGGCTCTTGGGAACATCAGCCTCTGCAGAGAGCTAATTCCATAGGCTCTGGATGTTAAATCCTAGTCCTGCTTCAAAACCAGCCTCTTGGGCTCTTGAACTTACAAAAAATAATCTCAGATTCCTATGAGGGAGTTATAATTGTCTCCATTTTCTATATGAGGAAACTTAATTAAATTGCCCAGAATCACAGCTAGAAAATGGTACAGCTGGAATTTGAAACCAGCTATATCTAATGCAAAAGCAGTAGGTCATTTTACAGTTTAAGTTACTTTCCCAGGGTCACCCAGAGAAATACAGAAATACAATTCAGTACCCATTCATGGTAAAAACGTTTAGCAAGATTAGAAGAGAATGGAAGTTCCTTCATCTGATAAGGAGTATGTACAAACAAAACTTACAACAAACACTGTATTTAATGGTAAACTATTAAAAGCTTCCCCCCTGAGATCAGGAACTAGACAGGATGATTGCTATCACTCTTTCTATTCATTATTATTCTGGAGGTCGTAGCCAGTGCAATAAAGCAGGAAAAAGAAAGAAAAAGCATCCAGATTGGAAAGGAAGAAGTGAAACTCTCATTATCCTCAAATGACATGCTCGTGCACATAGAAAATCCAAAAGAACCTACAATCCAACTATTAGAATTAATAAGGGAGTTCATCAAGGTCACTGAATTTAATGTAGGGCTCTGGTGAGGAGTCAATGAGAAGTTTGTATCAGCTACTAAACCCTAACCTATTTAATCCTCACAACCACTTCTCTTTGGCCTGTGACCCTGGTGACACTTCCTTCTTGACATTCCCTTTACCTTGTCTTCCTTGATACAATCTTCCTTTGGGTCTCGTCCTCCTCTTCTGGTGTCTGCTCCTACAACATCGGCCGTGCTCAGAGTTTGATCCACAAGCAGTGCTGTGGCAAGGACAGCTTCATCGTGTTCTCTGTGGGTGGCATCTCCCATGGGCGTCCAACACTCTTATCATTTCTTCCCTGGACTCGCCCGCTGACCTAGTTCTTGGTTCTCCCCCCTCAATTTTTCCCCCCATTTTTTTTTATTGTGGTAAAATACACATAATATAAAACCGACTATCTTAACCATTGTAAGTGTACCATTCAGTGGTGTTAAGTACATTCATGTTTCGAAACCATCACTACCATCCTCCTGCCTCCCTTTGTTTCCATCTGTCACACAGGCCCCAGTGGGAGGGGACCTTCCTCAAATACAAACTTGATCTTGCTGCCTTTTCCCTCTTTAAAATCTTTCAAGACCGGAGACACCTTGGTTAAGGATTTGGGGCCATAAGAGAGGTGATCCCAGGAAGCACAGTGAGGGAATGAGAATCAAGACAGGGAAGGGAGGAAGGCCAATATACGGTACGTTTGTGAGCAGGTTACCGATATGGGCAACTGGCGCTCAATTCTGCTGGTGCCTCTCTGAGATCCTGTGTAGCACACCCCTCAGCACTGCCCCGGTGAGGGGTGAGGAAGCTGGAGTATTTACCCACCAACTCCCATCCAGCTGGTAAACCAGCTTTCTGGGAGAACAAAGAAAGTCCCAATTTGTAGTGTTTGCCAGTGGCCACGATATAAATATTCCCACTGTGGCTGATTGGAAGCTACCAATGTTTTAACACTTGGCTTGCAAATTTTCTGAATATGTAACAGTCAGGCTCTCAGGCTCTCCAGAGCTAGTACCACTGCTCCAGCACACCCCAGCTCTCATTCCGCATTAGTTGAGGGTTGTTTCTGGGAAGCTAAGCACTTAGGATCTGCTCGCCCATATGGTGGCCAGCTGAGCATGCTTCAGCGGCCTGAGAACTCCCTCTGATGGTTTCAGGAAGTCCTCATTGTGTTTGGGAAATCTTTTCAGGTGCCTTCCGGGTCGGGTGGAGGGACACGGGTGGGACACCAACAGAGCTTGCGGTTAGGTCTTCGCAGGGCCCCCCTGCTTGGAATGCCTGCTCCTTCTTAGCACACACCCCCGCCCCCCACCCCCGTAAGCTTCTGCTCGTCCTTCAGTACTCAGCTGTGGTGGCACCACCTCTGTGAAGCTCTCCCTGTGTTGCCACAAACTGTCCTTGCTCTCGTGACAGCCTGAAAGCACGCCCTTGGCTTGTTCATTGCTACCTGCCTTTGTTCCTCACTGTACCGTAAGATGCCAAGGCCAGGGATGTTGTCTATCAGTTTCTGTAACCGCAGTTGTTAGCCCAGGGCCCAGCACAAACTTAGCTACTTAATAAACAGACAACTCGCCCCACCCAACCCTGGCACGTAGTAATGATTGAGTCAAATGAACACTCTCCCCCCTCCCCCTCCACTATTTCTATATCCACTGCTCAATCGATCAGTTGGTCCCTACAGCTTTATTGCTTATTCCCATCCGTTTCCAAAGAGGACTTTAGGCAACAAGCAGGTGCTTCCTTTCCCGTGAAGGTGTGAGTGACCGTATTTTCTGAAGCAATGATCAGGACACATGATCTGACACATGTTACGACACACGGTCTGACAATGGGACAGAACAGTTTAAATCACCACCGTCTCGGAAAATCTGGGCTGCGTGGCGCTGTGTCGAAAAGAGCCAGGAGCCATGGCTTCGTAATGCACGCCCAGAGCAGGCAGGAGTTCTGTTGTGAAGACCTCTGTGCTTTTAAGAGCGGCACGTGAAGATAGCGGAAGAGAGAAGCTGATTTCTGCGGCACTCTAGCTGGAGTGATCATAGGGACCAGGGAAAAATCTGCGGCAGAAACAAGCTCCCATGAAGACCATATGCTGTAGTTCTAATCGATGGCTCTTAGAAGTAATTCCTCGACATTGCATTCATTTTTACTGCCTCCCCTTCAGGGGCAGGAAGAACAGGGTTGTTAGCCCGCGTTTATAGATGAGGGTATTTAGAAACAGAGAGGTTCAATGGCTCAGCCCCAGTCACAGAGTGAATCAGAGACACCGCCAGCCTCGAATCCAGAATTCCGACTTGAGCTTCTGCGCCAAGATCCCTCGGGGCACGTTTCCTCTCTAATTTGCATAAATCATCAACATTTTTTTCCAAGCTTGTGCTGAGAAAGCCCCTTTTCAAAGAGCGGAAACTCCCTTTGCCTTCTGTCGCCTTAGTTTTATTTTATGAACCAAATTCTTTTACTTCAACATGTAGACTTGCTATTTTCCCTTCCGTTGAGTCCTTTTCAAAAGAGGTCGTGACCTTTGCTTATAGATGCAATGGAAACGGGTGAGCCTAAATGAAATAAAACAGACGATCCGGAGGCCATATAAAGTGTCATTTCAACTAATGTTCAAAATCCCATGCAGTTGATTATAAGTCTTAGATCCTGGCAGGTTATCAGGAAGATAAGAATGGATAAATGGTGCTTCCAGTGTTTGGACCCCACTAGGGGTAAGATGAGCCTCCAACCTCGGGAGCAGATTCCTAGGATTAGAAATAAGAAACTGGACATACCAGGGCCGTGCAAGCTTTGAGAAATTTCAATTTGGAAATATGTAGGGAGCCATACCTGAGACTGAAGGTATGCCAACTTGGTCTTTTAATCACCAACATAATGACATAATTACTCACAATCCTTTCACATATTTAAGAAATTCTTAGCTTATGACCTCATCTGTCTGATGGTCCTTAGGTGACTCCAGTGTTGAGGTTTCTGGGCATGAACTGTGCTTCCTGGAATCCCAGGTCAGCGCTTAGTGCCTTGCTGACACTCACGAAATAGTAATAATCCTCTTGAAAGTAAAAACATGCAGTGTGTTTGGAAAAATCTTCTCCTCCATGTCAAGTACGTTAGATTTTCAAAATAATGTATGGCTCATCTGTTTAACCATTAGAAAAAAAAGGAGTTCTGTCTATTTGAAATCTTTGGTAAAATAAAATTCAGCATAGAGGAAAAGCTTTTTGTCTACATGGCACAGTAATTTACGTTATTACTTATCACATTAGTCAGCTATTGCTGCAGTCACGCTGTGTAACAAAAGTTTTAAGCACACCCAAACTCAGCAGCTTAACATGTTTATTTCCTGTTCACGGGGTAGGGGTCAGGGGCTGGGGTTCTGATGATCTCAGTTGAGTTTGGCTGTACTCGGTAGCTTGGGTCCAGGCCTGTTCCACGTCTCCTCATCCTCCTTGGCCCAGCAGCTTCCTGGAGCATCCTCATTTTATGGCAGATCACCAGAGAGCAAAAGGCAGGCCAAACAACACAAGCACCTTTAAAGCCTTTGCTGGCATCATATCTGCTCACATTCCATTGACTAAAGCAAGTCACAGGGTCAAGCCCAAGGTCAGTGGAGCAGGGGAGCACAACAGCCCAAGAGGGAGGGGGAGGGGAGTAAATATTTGCTGAACAATACTCCAGTCTCTCACAATTATCATCCCTAAAAGCCTGTGTTATGGACTGAATTGTGTCCCCCCCAAAATTCATATGTTGCAGCCTGAGCCCCCAATCCCTCAGAATGTGACTGCATTGGGAAATGTGGCCTTTAAAGAGGTGATTAAGTTGAAATGAGGCCATTAAGGGAGCTCTAATCCCAACTGGCTGGTGTCATTATAAGAGAAGGAAATTTAGACACATAGAGGAAAGGCCATGTGAGGACACAGCGAGAAGGTGGCCGTCTGTAAGCCAAGGAGAGAGGCCTCAGGAGAAACCAAACCTGCCGACACCTTGATCTTGGGCTACCAGCCTCTTGAACTGTGAGACAATACATTTCTCTTGTTTAAGCCACCCAGTCTGTGGTATTCTGTTATGGCAACCTGAGCTAATACAGCCTGTAAACCCCTTGTGGGTGACTCAGGGCTGTGTCTTACTCATGGTGTTGTCTTCCCCCACAGTACTTAGCACATTACCATGTATACATATTTATGTATATTTGGTGAATGAATGAAATCTTCTCTCAGTTTCAAAATCAATAATTAACTTATTTTATCAGCCAGACTCATGGTTGCAAGCGTTAGAAACCCATTTAAAGTTTTTTTAAGCAAAAAGGAAATCTTTGGGGTCAGATGACTGGGGTAGCTTCTAAAATGTACAGAGTGGGCTTCCCTGGTGGCGCAGAGGTTGAGAATCTGCCTGCTAATGCAGGGGACACGGGTTCGAGCCCTGGTCTGGGAAGATCCCACGTGCCACGGAGCGACTAGGCCCGTGAGCCACAACTACTGAGCCTGCGCGTCTGGAGCCTGTGCTCCGCAACAAGAGAGGCCACGACAGTGAGAGGCCCGCGCACCGTGATGAGGAGTGGCCCCCACTTGCCACAACCAGAGAAAGCCAACACAGCCAAAAATAAAAATAAATAAATTAAAAAGAAGGCTCAACATTAAAAAAAAAAATCATTAAAAATTTAAAAAAAGAAAAAAAAAAATAAAATGTACAGAGTGATTCTAAGAACCAGGGCCTCACCTGCCAGATCCTCTTTCCATGGTCCCTCACTGAGGCACTTGGCCATGTTTTTGCAGAGAAAATGACTACCAAGAGAACGACAGATTATATTTTCCAAAAGTGATGACAACAATATCTCCCATCCCAGCTGCTCATCTTACGGTGTGACTTTGACATTCCTCCCATTGAGAGGTAGGGTCTGTGTTTTCTGCCTTTGAATATGGATGGGCTTGTGACGACAGTGGAAGTGACACTGTGTGACTTCTAGGCTAGGTCATAAAAGACGATACAGCTTCTGCCTTGTTTGCTGGAACATTGCCTTTGGAGTCCTGAGCTGCCATGGCAGAAGTCCGAGGCTGCCATGCTGTCAGGAAGCCCAAGCTACATGGAGAAGCCACATGAAAGTGTTCTGGCCAAGAGCCCCAGCTGAGGTCCCATCTAACAGCCACCACATGTGAGTGAAGATGACTCCACATGACTCTGGCCCCCAGCCATTGAGTCCTTCCTGTTGAGGCCCCAGATATTGGGGAACAGGAACAAGTCCTCCCCATGGTGCCCTGTCCAAATTCCTGATCCACAGAATCTGTGAGCATGATAAATGGTTCTTTCATGCCACTATGCTTTGACATAATTTGTTCCATAGCGATTGTAAGTGGAATACAGAGCCCAGGATTACACTCTTACAGCTACCACTCTTTAGAAAATTCTGGGAAAGGTCTCCAATTGGCCAGGCTTGGGTCACATGCCTACCTCTTGAGCCAACTGCTCTGTCCAGGAGGAAGTAGAGTAGCTCTAGCCTACTTTATGTGTTCATTCCTGGGGGCGTAGGCAGGGATGTTATTACGGCCACATACCAGACGCCTAGGGCTAGAGTGATTCATCAAGGGTGGTAGGGGTGGTCTCAGCAGAAGGGGTATGAGAATGTGTTCTGGGCAGACTGAAATAATAGCTATATTCTGTCACCTTTACTTTATTTGGTAACCTTTTTTGGGGGGAGAAGGGGGGGTTTAAGATAGTTTCCTTTAAAAGAAGATCGGAGACCACAAGCTGTGTGACTTTGAGCAAGTTACTTTGCCACGCTGAGCCTAATAATTTTTTTTTTTGTACTTCTCTGGCAAGTTGTTAAGAGTGTGTTAGAAACGCTTTTCACTTTAGTCAAAATTTACGTCAGGTCAGTCATCACTTGGAAGCAGGGACTTCAGTGTTCTGCTGAAGGGTCCACATTGCTGTCTGCATTAATTTCCACATGACTTCCGTCTTTCCCTTTTCCACCCCAAAATACACACACACACACCAGTCGCATGTGATGTGCACACACACATATTAAATATGTATTTTTCATATATTCCAAAAATAACCAAACCTTTCTTCTTTCCTGAAAGCCAGTAATATTTTTGCAGCCTAGAAATATCCTTAGGGTCAATATCCTCTATCAGGGATCGGCAAACTTTTTTTGTGACAGGCCAGAGAAGAAAAGTTTCAGGCTTTGCAGGCCAGTTTCTGTTGTGACTACTCATCTCTGCCCTTGCAGCCAAAGCAACCACAGACGATATATAAGCAAATGGGTGTGGCTGGGTTCCAATAAAACTTTATTTATAAAAACAGGTAGTGGGCCAGATTTGGTGCACAGGCTGTACTTTGCACAGAATCTATAGCAGCACTGTCCAATAGAAATATAACGCAAGCCACATATGTATGTAGCTGCGGAGAAAGGCGGTGTCTCCCCAGTATCAATTCCCAGCCTGCAGTAGCATCAGCTCCCCTGTTGTAGGAGAAGGTATCCAGGCAGAGCATCAAAGATATGTGGGTGCTGGAGGAAGGAAGTTGTCAGAGTACAGAGAATTGTCTCACATAGCTGCCCGCGAACTCAGGCAGGTCCAGGGCGTAAGGCATGGGGCATCAATGGTGTCTGCCTTGGGGAGCAAACCTAAGGAAGAAACCTGTGCCTTGGAAGGTAGAACAGTGAAATGGGGGAGGGGGTACTATGCCACTGGAGATATCATGGTGCTGCTGGGTCAGGGTTTTCCTGAAGCCAGATCTAACTCTGGACTTTAAGGGTATGTGAACCAGTACATTCCCCAATCAGTATGTAAGCCAGTTTCCATGGGGATTTCTATGTCTTATCACGGAAAGCAGTTTTTACTACTCTACAGGTTAATTAGCTCAGCAATTCTTCGGATGCTGAATAACCTTACTATGAGAATTGAGATTGGCAGAGGTGCGGAGATTCTGTATAAGCGTTTCTCAGCCCCTCTATATTTGATAGGATATTTCCCTCCTACTCCTGCCCCTCAAACAACAAAACGAACACCACCTTTTTGGTTTTCAACCCTATGTCAGTAGTAAAATAAGACTTAAGAAACACCCTGGGGAGTTTGGTTAGGATCTATTTCTGAATTGCACATGGTCCAGCCTGTTGACTGAAGCAAAGTGTAGACAGAAGCTACACCATCATTAAAGAAGGTGGGGTATATATATATATATATATATATATATATATATGAATATTATTCAGCTATTAAAAAAAAGAAGGAAATCTTGCCATATGTGACAACATGAATGGACCTTGAGGGCATCGTGCTAAGTAAGATAAGGCAGACAGAGAAAGGCAAATACTGTATGATCTCACTTATATGTGGAATCTACGAAACCAAACCAAACCAAACAAAATTCATAGAGAACAGATTGGTGGTTGCCAGAGGCAGGGGATGGGGGTGTGGGTGAAATGGGTGAAGGAGCTCAAAAGGTACAAACTTCCAGCTATAAAATAAGTAAGTCATAGGAATGCAATGTACAGCATGGTGACTATGCTATACATTAATAATAGTTAAGAATAGTGCATTGCAGTATTTGAAAGTTGCTAAGAGAATAGATCTTAAAAGTTTTCACCACACACAAAAAATTGTGTAACTATGTATGGTAATGAATGTTAACTAGACTTACATCGTACTGATCGTTTCGCAATATATACAAATATGGAATCATTCTGTTGTATACCTGAAACGAATATACTGTTATATGTCAATTACATCTCATTTAAAAAAGAAAGACAGAAAGGAACCATCAGTCCCAAAGAGACCAGGGCAGGTATGGTAGGTTGTTGGGTCCCTAAACACCCATTTCAACTCTCCTCTTGCTGACAGTCTTTTAGAGCAAGGCTCTACATTCAATAACGCGCTTTCCCAGACATCTGTGCAGGAGAGGTGGCCGTGTGACTCCAGTCCAGCCAGTGGGACACAGTCAGAAGTCACCTATCATTGCCTCTTCTGCTGCTTTCTCCTTTGGCTGGAGTGAGGGGCTGGGGCTGGAGATGCACGCGTCATTGCCACGTTGCGAGGAGGGGGAGACGGGCAGGCTTCTTCTTGGCCTTCGTGGGCCACCCTTCCAGACCTGGACTCTATTACCCCGACTTCTTACTGCCTGAGATAAATCAGTGCCTTTACCATTAAGCCAACAGCCACAGTTGTTGCGTTTCTCTTATGGGCAGCTGAATGCAGTCCTGTGTGATACAGAATCATATAAGCCTCTTTACTTTTACCAGGATGTTCCTTTACCACTTTCCCAAGGATCGTGGGCACGTGGGAGACCTCAGAGGGCCTAAACTGTGGCCAGGGCAACAGATGCAAACCAGGACAGATGAAAGTAGGTAGAGTAGAGCTAAATGGCCGTGGGAGGACCTCTCCAAGCTCGTTTTTAAAAATCTTCAGGGAATCCAGGGGAGATCATACAGGCTTGGTGGTGAACCCGGAGCCAGTTCGTCCTCCTCATTGGTATAGACTCTTGGTGAGTGAAAGTGCCCAGATTCCAATTCCAATGCATGGAGGGAGAGGGGTCCCCCCCTACCTGCTCCAACAACAAGCAGTGCCTGGGACACCAGCTGGGTGTCCTACAGTTCAACTCAATTCTGACACCATCTACCTGGAGACAGCGTCAGATCCCACAGGTTAAGGGCTCAGTCCCACAAGACTGCCCTCTGCCTCAGATGCCAATTGCAAGTCCAGGTTGTCACCTGTGCCTCTGACCTACTGGCTATAAATCAGAGGTTCCCACGACCTCCTTCTTGGGTTCAATTAATTTGCTAGAGCAGCTCACAGGACTCAGAGAAACATTTTACTCACGAGATCACTGGTTTATTATAAAAGGCTACAACTCAGGAACAACCCGATGGAATTGATGCATAGGGCAAGGTGTGGGGAAAGGGCACAGAGCTTCCATGCCCTCTCTGGGCTCACCACTCCCCCCACGTCTCCACGTGTGCACCAACCTGGAAGCTCTCGAAACCCTGTCTTTTTGGGTGTTTATGGAGGCTTCATTGCACAGGCACGATTGATTAAATCATTGGCCATCAACGACTGATTCAACCTCCCTCCCCTCTTCCCTCCCAGGAGATCAGGGGGTGGGAATGAAAGTTCCAACCTGCTAATCACAGGGTTGGTTCCTCTGGTGACCAGCTCCCATCCTTAATGAGGTGTCCAAAAGTCATCTCATTAACATAACAAAAGACACCTTTTATCACTCTCAGCACTTAAGAAATTCCAAGGGTTTTAGGAGCTCTGTGCCAGAAGGGGACCAGACCAAACCTGTGTTTCTTATTATAAATCACGAGATGACAGTGAATCTCTCTTGGACTCTACCAGCGCAGAATGAGCCATCAGACGCTAAACGACTATCCCAAGCTACACGATGGGGAACATCTCCCATTGCTCTAGGACCTGGGTGCTCACCAAACCCTTGTCCCACATGAAAAAGGCCTTTCGTTTTAGCTCCTGTGCTCTCAGGCACCCCCATCATTCTCTCCACTTCTCTTTACTGCTAGTTTATGGCATTGAAAAAACAACCATCGCGACAAATTGCCTTTTCTTCTTGCCTTTCGAGAAAGAAACCTAAGTGCTAGTATTATTTTCCACTTTTAATCACAGCTTGACAGAGATGGAAAGTTAAGTCGTGTAATTGCTTTTGTGTTTTGTACTTCTTTTCACTATTTTGGAAAAAAGAAATAGTTCAATGGATAAAATGTGGGTTTACACCAGACCCCAAACATCACGAGCATTAATGGCAACCATGTGTTATTCCAGAGAATGTGCACCTACTTTGTGGGAGGAAGAAAAAATACGGCGCTGCTCAGCTAGTGCACAGAGGAAACCAAAGAGTTCCAAAGGCATGTTTGGGGACAGAGAGCTGTTTCAGGTATCTCAAAGTAAAAAAGATATATTTTGTAAAAACTTAAGATGTAGATATTACCATGGGCGTACTTGCAGCAAGATTGCCTTCCCCAAACTATTAATTCATAAAACGTCTGTCTCCTAACTGGAAGGTGGGGGATGCCTGGAGGCACATCTGGCCCATCCCACCGCCTTTTGCCTGGATTGTCCACAAAGCCACTGGGCCAGCATGTGGCCCTCTGTGCAGAGGCCAAGAAGAGAGGCTGCAGACAGGTGGGGCTGCAGCTTGGCCACAAAGTGCTCCCTACCGCCACCAAGAATGGAGCTGGGATGGGGCTCTCCACCCAGCACGAATCTTTCCCCATCTCTCCCGTTGCCAGAAGCCTCAGGTGGGCTGGGCTGGCAGAGGAATGAACTTAGCAGAGACCCACTTGGTTCCAGGAACCATGACTTGATACCGCTGAATCACGATTGCCTGCTGGAAGGGACAGTGCAGCCTTAGTCTTTGTATGTGTGAATTTAGTGTCTGCTCGGGGGCTAGAATCAGAGTTGTGGTTGGAAGCACCCAGCCCCAGATTGTAAAGTGGGTAGGTATTTTTGCTTGGTCACAAAGTCTGGTGTGCAGACACTAATGCTCTTTATTTTCCTTTTTCATTCTTTTTTTTTTTTTTTTTGCAGCCTCTAAATTTTTATTAACATGCGTTTTTAAAAGCAAACATCCATACTAGTGTGTGTGGGGGGTAAGGATGGGAGAGGAGGGCAGGGCAGGGCGAAGGAATTCTGCTTTATTGGTAATAAAATGCCAGAATTTTTTATTTATGTATTTTTAAAAAATTATTTATTTTTGGCTGCGTTGGGTCTTTGTTGCTGCGTGAGGGCTTTCTCTAGTTGTGGCGAGCAGGGGCTACTCTTCGTTGCGGTGCGCGGGCTTCTCACGGCGGTGGCTTTTCTTGTTGCGGAGCACGGGCTGTAGGTGCGCGGGCTCCGTAGTTGTGGCACGTGGGCTCAGTAGTTGTGGCTCGCGGGCTCTAGAGGGCAGGCTCAGTAGTTGTGGCGCACGGGCTTAGTTGCTCCACGGCCTGTGGGATCTTCCCGGACCAGGGATCGAACCCGTTTCCCCTGCCAGTGCAGGCGGATTCTTAACCACTGCGCCACCAGGGAAGCTCAAGCGCCAGCATGAACTAGAATTACCTTCGCTCTTGAGCTCTCGTTTCCACTGATGGTGAATACTGTCAGCGTGCCAATTCAACCCAGCTCAGCACTTCCTGTTTAAAGGTGGTCCCTCTCAGGATAAATGCGGCACTCCCTCATCCTCACATCCTCCTTCCCTTCTCCCAGGGGTAATCAAGGGCTGACCCCTGGTCCCGGCCTGAGGAAGGGGCCCACAGGCCACCATTGGTACTCGCTGACTTCTGCCCAATTGTGTTATTCATCTCCAGCTGCATACGAAACCACTCCAAAACTTACAACGAACACAATATTTATTTTTCCTGTAAAATCTGCAATTTGAGCAGGGCTTCGCAGATATTTGGTGTCAGCTGGGGTAGCTTGAAGGCTGGGGGTCGGAATCTCTCCGAGGCCCCCTCAGACGGTGGCTGCCATCTGGGACCTCATCTGGGGCTGGCAGATGGAACGCCTACACGTGGCCTCTGCCTGTGGTCTGGGTTTCCTCACAACATGGCAGCTGGGTTTTAAGGGTAAATGAAGAGAGAGGGGAGGGGTGTGCCAATTTGCCTTTCATGACCTAGTCCTTAAAAATCGTGTGGTATCACTTCGTCACATTCCGTTTGTCAAGGTGGTCACAAGAGCCCGCTGAACTTCAAGAGGTGGAGAGGAAGACTCCACCTCTTGAGGGGGGAAATGGCACATACTAGAAGAGCATGTGAATTCATAAATGTTGTAGAGGCCACTCTCCAACTACGGTCTGCTACACCCTCTCTTCTCCGTGCATTGGCCGTTGATCTTTTTAGAGCTGCCACCATCTCTGGTTCATTAAGTCCACTCTAGTTCCCTCACCGCTACCCAGAGGCCTCTTGGTGTTCCAGCCTCACGACCACGTCTGTGCCCATCTTGGGGATGGAAACATTTATACAGCTCTATTTCCTCATGCTTGAGAACGCTGTTGGCCTCCAGGCCTCCTGGGCTGTAGCTGCCCTGCGGCTCCGGCACCACGTTGGATGTGAGGCTTCTCCGTGTAGCTTGCAACCATCCCTGGTCTCCTCTGCTTGAGCCCCAGCCTTCTGGTGCCCATTGCAGCCGGCAGGGAAGAGGCAGCTACTCTTCTGAGGGCAGACTCCACATTAAGGGCATTTTTTGTATCCACCGTTTCATTTTACCCCTTATTGGCCAGAACTTTGTCACATGGCCACATCTAACTGGGAAATGTAGACCTTATTCTGTCAAACCGTGGGTTCAGTGAAAAACTGGAAGTTTTTTTCTCAAGGGAGAAAAGAATGGGTTTTTCAGGAGAACTCCTATCTTGACAACAGAGGCAGCATTTAACCTGAGAGCTTCAGGGTGAGTCAGAGTCAGCAATGATAGAACCAGGGGAAGAGTATTTTAGGCAGAGGGAACAGCAAAAACAGAGGCTCAGAGGCAGGAAAGAGCATGGCCTATTCGAGGTACAGGAGTGTAATTAGTGAAGGGTGTGACCTGTGGAAGTGAGGGCAGGTAGACAGGAGGAGAGAGATGAGATGAAAGGAAAGGCAGGTAACTACCAGACCATGCGGGGCTATGTTGGCTAGGATTAGTAGTTTGGATTTTATTCTAGAACACGTTTCCGAACGGACTCTTTGATGTCTACAGTTCCCACAATTAGCAATTTTTTTTGGGTGCAAAAGTCCATTCAACACAAATATTTATTGAGCGCCTACTCATGACAGGAAAACAGAAGGCATGTGGCAAGGTAGGAATAGCTTGATATTTGGAGTATTAGCATTTGGAAGGTACCCAGTTTGGTCAGTGTATTAGCTGAGTATCCCTGGGCAAATTACCTAACTTCTCTGAGTCTCAGATTCCTTGCTAGGCAACGTTGTGAGTTTTTAACAATATAACGCGTGTAAAGGTTCATGGTGAACTCTAAGGAGCCTCGTGTACACTATGGTTAGTGAGATATTGTTACAATATTGGTGTAAGTTCATCACACTCTTTCTGGAGTACCAAAGGGCCAATCTGAGGGTAGGTGGCGGAGGGGAGAGGATGGATATAGACAAGGACCCAGCAGGGAGAGGGCTGAAGGGAGGGCCCCTGGCATGGTCACCAAGCACTGGGCCCTGAGGTGTGCAGTTAAGGAGGGACAGCAGGGGATACCAATGAGTCACTCTGGCAAAACTGATGCCCATCTCCGCATCCCCTCAGCCCGCCTCTGAGTTCACCTGCAGCTACGCTGAGCTCTTTCTAGAAAGCCTGCAGGGCTTGTCTCTCTTTTCTTCTTAGCCTATGGACTTTCTTTGGCATCAGGGATCTCGCTGGAAGCATGCAACCTGGAAATGCCATGGAGTTAGCATCCTGGGGAAATTCTCAACCCTGCTACCCCAAGTTGGGTGTTTGGAACGGGGGACGTGTTCTGATGTGTGCCCCACGTGGCCTCTCAGGGGCTCCCAGGTGGGGTGGAGCAGCTGCCCTCAGTGGTAACTTGCTCATCAACACCCCCTGAATACGCTCTCCTCTTTATCTCACCTCCCCACTCCCTCACCGTGCTTCCCGGGGTCACCTTCCCAATAAGCGACCTGCACCCAAATTCTCATCTCAGGCTCTGCTTTGGGGGGAACCTCGGCCAGCTCTCCATTCCCGACCCCCTTCCCCGATACGTAAGGCGAAAGGGCACAATTATAGGTGGCCACGTGACCCACTGCCAGGTATTGGCTCATAAGCCAAAGTCTTTTGGAAACTTTCTTGGAAAGCTTTCACTTCTTCATAAAAGGAACAGATATTTTTGGTGCTGGAATACCTCCCCCACCTTCCTGCCTTGACCATGAACACGCTTTTAGAGCTGCCGCAGCTGTCTTGAGGCCAGAAGGGAAGGCCAAGAGGATAACAGAAACGCTGGTGTCCCTTATGTATTAAGTCACCGGGCTCACATCTATAGACAGCTAATTCTAGACTTCTTCTTTTGTAAGGAGTATAACCCCCGGGTTTGTTGAGGACGCCGTTCACGGAGTGCTTGGTTACTTGCACCCTAATGCAGACCTAACTGATAGCAGTTGCTCAGGGTGCCAAGGTCAGTGGTGGCTGCAACCTAGATTTTCAAGTCGTGGAGCCAGTGAGTCAAGTTGCTCTGCAGCAGGCTGGCAAATGTTGGAGCAGCACAGCCGCCCCTGCCCTGCCAACTCCCACTCCTGTTCTTGCCTCTCTCCAAATCCCATGGCTTCTCCCAAGCGGGATGGACAAGGCTCCTCTTCGGAATTCTCAGGCTTAAAGGTTGAGGAATGCAGGTGGCCTCGGAGACCACAGGCAAGTCTCTGACCTGCGTCACTCACCTTCCAGCCTCTGTTTCCTTCTTTCTTACTTCAGATTGACAGAGAGAGCAAGGTCTGAAGCGAAAGGATAAGAATCTATCCAATTAGGGGGACAATTCCCTGATTCCCCTGTCATTTACATTTCTTCTTTACTTTCTGTCTCGTTTTGTCTTAGAGAGCAAGCCCGTGAAAACTAGGCTTGTGATTTCTTTGGACTGAATCGCGTACAGTTGTTCACTGGTACTAACTGAGAGCCTGGATTGCTCCGGGCTAGGGGAAAATACCAAGGAGATGGAAGGCCTGTCCTGTCCTAAAACGGGGCACAGTCTGGTTGGAGGCAGTGGAACCTCCCAAGAGGGCCTATAGTTCAGGAGGCATGATCGCATAGGGGTCCACGAACATATGTTCTGGAATGGATGACCTGCATCGAGCAAGGTACTTAACGTGTGTGTGCCTCGGTTTCTTCCTCCATAAAGTGGAGAGAATCATTGTACCTAATCCTTGGTGCCATTGGTGCAAATTAAGTGAATTAGCCGTGATGATGATGAAAGTTATGTGTTCATTCGCAGTGCCCAAGGCAGTGCTTTGCACATTCGAAGCTCCAGGAACAGTTTCCTTTACCCAACACCTATTTATGAGTATTCAGTACATACCAGGTGCCGTGTTAGGTGCTGGAGGTACAGTGGCAAATTAGACAGATAAGGCACCTGTCCTCATGGTCTGCCAGGGACAAGGACATGAAAGTCATTACACCTGTGACAAATAAGGACTCCAGTCAGAGGGCCTGGCCCAGGTTCAGGCCTTGGGGTGTGAAGGGGGTGGACTGCTGAAGCCCAGACGGAGCGCACCTAAGTGGAGGCTGGAACGGGGTCCAGATCCTGTGCACCTGGAGGGTTAAGTGTAGGCAGACAGTCAAGGTCACATATCAGTGACTGGGTTCA